ACTTATTTTCCTAATAGGCGAAGTAGTTGTAGCATATGAGACTTTTAAACACCACCTCTTAGGAGGAATCAAAGGTTTTGACTTAAAAAAGAAGTGGTCGAATGGGAAACATTGAAGCCTTCAAAGTTTTGTCTCATCAGTCCCCTCACCATTATTTCGGGACTAAGACCTCATGGACCGTGTAAATTCTTATATTAAGGGAATAAGTTTCTAAAATTTTAAGATATAAAAACAGTTTAGGGTAAAGTACACAAATGGTCTCTTGACTATAGGATATTATCTTATTAAGTCTCTTAATTATTAAAAGTTACAAAATGGTTCTTCAATTATAAAATGTTGTTTTATTAAGTCCATCGACTATTAAAAGTTACAAAATGATCACCCGACTTTTCATTATGTTCCAAACTCGTCCTTTTTTAATTAAAAAAATGACGGTTGTCTAAGCTGGACGTTAACATGATGACTGAGATGTGTTAGTCGTTTGAGATTCTGGGATCAGATTTTATGATATCGCAGTTGGTAGGTTAACACCCAGTTGAGAATATAGTCAATTTTTAATAGAAAATTACGAGTTTGGAACATCATGAATAGTCGTGTGACCATTTTGTAACTTTTAATAGTTGATGACTCAACAAAGTAACATTTTATAGTCGAAGAACCATTTTATAACTTTTAATAATCGAGAAACTTAATAAAGTAGTACCCTAGAGTCAGGGGACCATTTGTGTACTTAGCCTAATAGATTATTAATAAAATAGATAAAAAATACCTAAATTATATGACAATTTAAAATTTTTAAGAGATCAATGATAATCTTCGTCAACCTCTCCTCGATCCATCTATGCCTTCAATTTTGTCACATGTTGTTCATTGGCCGATACCTCCAACAAACTTGGATAACCCCAAAATAAGGGTCTATATATCAATCAACAAAATGATCCAGGGTCATGTAAAGTTCACTTAACTTTATTTCCTAAACTTTCAAGGTGTGATTTTCATTTTTTTATAATATCCGGTATCTGATCTATTAATCAATTAATCTGGTTCAGGTACTATAAAGGTAAGGTCAGAACTTCATGTTTGAAGCTAGAAAGTGATACGTTTTTAGGTTAAGATATAATTTTATCATTCTTCACACAATAACTAAGTTTTAAGTTTTTGTACTTTATTAATTGGAGATTTGGTCGATTTTGAATAAAGGTTAATTTTTTTTATTAATTCAAGTTAATTTGAGTTTCGATCAATTTTAAATTTTAATTATTTGGATTTTAGATTATTTTAAATGCTATTTCGTATTGATCTATTTTAAGTTCATATTTTTTTAATTTATTATTATGTTATTTAGTTCTCAATTAAACTCCTTAAAAATCTTGAAATTTTAACTTAATCCAATGAAAAATTATTCTAATCCCAAGAAAGTTTATGATTTCATTTTGACCCCTTAAAAATTATCATGGATCCATTTTATATTTCGTTCATGCTATTTAAAATTTAAATAATATTATATTTGTATTGTTTTGTATTGGATTGAGTGGAGAGTTAATTATTCTAATAAATTTTAGGGTAAACTACATATTTAGTACCTAAACTATTAATTTTGATCTGTTTTAATACTTATACTTTCAATTTTTTTTTTAAAATCATACTTAACGTTTAGTTTTTTTAGTACCCTGCCATTAAAAACTTAACACTTTTATACCTAAACTATCAGTTTTGGCCCGTTTTAGTACCCAAACTTTCAAAAAAAATTTCAAAACCATACCTAAAGTTTACTTTTTGTTTCATTTTAGTACCCCATTCAAAATTTAATGTACCCAAACTTTCAATTTTTTCAATACCATACCTAGAGTTTAGTTTTTATTTCATTTTAGTACCCCATTCAAAATTTAACATTAAATTTTGAACTGGTTCTAAAATGAAACAAAAACTAAACTCTATGCATGGTATTGAAAAAATTGAAAGTATATGTGCTAAAACGGACTAAAACTGATAGCTTAGGCAGTAAACTCATAGTTTACCCTAATATTTGATATGAATTCAATGGCTCGCAGTTGGTGGAAATTGAAAGTAAGACCAGTCCATTAAAGTCCTTTGAAATCAAAAGTAAAACCACGAGGGTTAGACTTTGGTCAAAATTAAACTCAAAGACACATTATGTCATTGGTAAAATGGAAATTCTCCAACAACTCTTCATTAAAATAAAAGATCAAACCAAAGTGATATAATAATAATAATTAAAAAAAGAACATAATCTTAAGTTTATGGAATCCAACTGTAAGAGGACAATGAACAACATTATCATAAAACAAAACCCAAAAGTCAAACTGGTCTGCATGCTGCCTCTCGAGGGGTTGCAGTTTCTGAGAAATATAAAATAGAGAGTTGAATTGTTCTGCAAAATTATCACATGCAGCATATAAACAGATTGTGACATTGTGATGAAATTTTATTTATGTTCATCTGTATATAAAAATTCTATATTATTAATATATATTTATTTTTAAAAAATATTTCTAAATTCCTCACCAAATTCCGATTCAACACCTTCCATGTTTCAACATAAAGTTTTTCAGAAAGTTACACTTCTGAAGTTCCGAGTCCGACTCATGTCGGCCACCATTGATTTAATTCTATAAATAAGCTGTCGGTTGACTGTGGATTTGGCTATGGATCATTATATGTGTCTTATGTCGGTGTTGCTTTACTTCAAATACCACACGTATCCCACTCCACTAACCTTTTGAAACCATCGTTAATTTAGGAAAATATGATTTAAAAAAGGATGTAAATATTTGTATATATAAAGAAAAAATTGATTGTGCATGGACCATGCATATCATATGAAAAATGGAGTATGCATAAAAAAGGGAAGGCCGGGAGGGGAGGTTAGAATTAGGGGCATTTCCTCATTCAAGATAGACTATACAAAAGTAGTATCTTAATTAAAAAATAATAAAAAAAAATAGTAGTATCTTAATGACATGGGACGGTTCTATTCAACTTTTGATGTTGTATATTGTGTATGGATGAATATGAGTATTGTGGTAAATGAGATGATGCGGGTCGTGAACTATTCGAGTTTAATAAGCTTGAACTTGAATTGAGTTTGAATTTAAGCTTCAATCGAGTTAAATCAAAAATGTTTTAAATTTAAACTTTTTTTTAGATAAATTCGAATTTTAATTTTTGATTTCAAATCGAGACTAAAATGTTAAGCTCTTGAACTTTCAAGTAGGGATGGCAACAGTTCGGGTTAAGGTTGGGTTTTTGGTCAACGACCCAAAAATAGGTATCCTCCACCCGAACCCAATCTGACCCTAAAATTTTATACCCTACATCCGAACCGTCTCGATCCAAAAAATTTATAACCTCCACTTGAATTTAACCTGGCTAAATTTTTTTAGAGTATAAATCTAATCCGACTCGACCAAACCTGGTATAAAGTAATGATTTAACTAAATAATAATAATTTTTTTAATGAAATTATATTATATCCTCAGGTTGGGTCCGATCAGAGTTTTTTCACCCTCCACCCGACCCCGACCGACCTCGCCGCTTCAAAAATCCACCAATTCGATCCGACCCAAACTCTAATTTTTTTGAAACATATCGGATTCAAATTAATTTGTCATCCCTGCTTTCGAGTCGAATTTCAATTTTTAATTTCAAATTTAGATCAAACTTAATAAATTTTAACTCACGAACTTTTAAATCGAATAAAACTTCCTAATATTGGAGCTCAACTCGGTTAGTTTATATCCCTAATTAGAGTATAGAAATAAGGGTGGGGGTGGCACAGATTAGGTATTGAAGTTGCTTTAATGGCTTAGGTTAGTTTGGGACATTGCAAGTGCGTAATGTCAGTGTACTTACACTACACACGGTAACGCGTGAGTGCCAGATCTTTTTGCAGGTTTGGGGATCGCAATAAATATTTGTAAAAAGAAAAGGGCGATAGCAATAATTATTATATATTTTTGCATAACTAATTAGGAACTACCACTTATGTTTTAACTTTTAAATTTGTAAAATTTTTCTCATATTACTACAATTTTTATTTATATTTGTTGTATCCGTAAAAGAATGGGTAAATTATGCGTTTATTACCTAAATTACCAATTTCGATCCGTTTAGTACTTAAACTTTTAAATTTTTAAAATCATAATTAAATTTTAGTTTTCATTTTATTTTAATATCCCGTTCAAAATTAAAAGTTAAATTTTGAAAAAATTAAAAGTTTAAGTGCTAAAATGATAACATTAAAAAGGAAACGTCAACTTTTCTCTTGACGTCGTAGTAAAGGCATCTCAACACTCTTTGGGGGTAACTTTGAGTTGTATTAACGAGAGTGGAAGGCATATTTACATCAACCGAGCTTCTAGAGGTATCCATACGGCGGGTGACTAAAATGAAGCGCAAACATAATGTTATGCATGACTTTAAAACAGAAAATAGTTAAGTGATCAAAACGGAATAAAATGATAAATAAATTACCAAACGTGTGATTTATCCTAAAATTAAAATCAAAATCAAACTCAAATTCCATCAACAACTATCAAATTTTTTAATGGTAATAGAACTATCACACTTGGGTGTGATGTTAAAGTTACCAAGATCCTCACCATTATTTATTAATTAAAGTTGTGATTGAATCTTCAAAAAATATACTAATGGTACATGACCATGGGTACATCTGTCATCCATTACGCAGTGATGATAATCTCATTGTTGTAAAGACAAGAAGAGAAGAGGAATCCAAATTCAAATCTTTTAATTCAATTTGTCCAAATCCCAATATCAATTTTAATGTTAAAATGAGTACCAAATAGATTTATAATTTTAAATTTGAGTCTTTATATTTGTAGAAACTTTCAACTTTTTCTCGTGTAGACCCCATCCACCACAGACTTTATACACGTATGTCATCATCAACCTCTCTATATAAAGGCTCACAATCGTCCCACTCCTCACCATTAAACTAATCAATTTCCTTCTCACCCTAAACTTCAATCCTCCATTCTTTTTAAACTCATTTGTTATTAATTATCTTTACTTTTTTTTCTGAAAAGCTTGATCTGTTCCTTGTAACTTCAGAAGAAAAAATGGTTTCCATGTCTAAGATTGCTACTGGAAATGGCCATGGTGAGAACTCACCGTATTTTGAAGGATGGAAGGCATATGAGACCAATCCATTTCACCCTATCGACAGGCCTGATGGTGTCATCCAAATGGGTCTAGCTGAGAATCAGGTGACTTTACAAACCCTCCATGGAATGAATTTCCCACTACTTTCATAGATCTCCCCTGATGATTTCATTTTGTTTTAACCAGCTATGCTTTGAGTTCATCAAAAAGTGGCTAATGGAACACCCAGAGGCCTCCGTTTGCACGTCGGAAGGTGTCGGTAGGTTCAAAGAGACGGCACTTTTCCAGGATTATCATGGGATGCCCGAGTTCAGACAGGTACGTGCGGCAAACAAATAACACGGTTTTGTAGGGTATAATTCATTACATGTTCATTAATCAAACTTGTGTTTTATGAACAACAGGCTGTTGCAAAGTTCATGGGGAAAGTGAGGGGAGATAGAGTGAAATTTGACCCAGAACGCATTGTTATGAGTGGTGGAGCAACCGGCGCTCATGAAACGGTCGCCTTCTGCTTGGCGGATCCTGGTGAAGCTTTACTGCTTCCCACTCCTTACTATCCAGGGTAATTTTTGTTCAGCCTTATTAACTATTTTACCTTCGTGAACATTCATAATTACAGTGGTTAACAGGAGTATTATTCTCAGTCTTTTTAGGTTAAAGATACTGTCGGTGACTAAAAAAAATGATATAATATATAAATTGATGTGAGTTGAATATGTTTAAATACTTAGTACTGAATCTATCACGTGATTTTAGAAGTTAAAGATAATGTTATTTTCTTTACAAGTTTCGAATTTAAACAGTGTTTGTAGATAAATAAGAATTATGATTAAAAAAGATTCTGAACCGATTTTATTAGAAAATAGTAGTTGACGTTTTGTCCCCCAAGCAAACCCACACATGGGAAGTAAAGGAAGGAGGAATTGCTAATTAACTAATAAATTATGATCAAGATTCGTTTAATGAAAATATATTAATTTGGTCAACTATCCTAAAGTCAAAAGTGACAACGTAGCCGCCTGGGATTGTTTCAAAGGGGATGAAAACTGGGTTAATTCCACACAATAAATTTGACATTTCCATGTTTACTGTGCACGTTTCGGTGTTGGGAATCATAAATTTACTAAGAAATTATGTTATGAAATTTGCAGATTCGATCGTGATTTGAGGTGGAGAACAGGGGTAGAGCTTGTTCCAGTGATCTGTGAAAGTTGCAATAATTTCCAGATCACTAGAAACGCCTTGGAAGCTGCATATGAAAAGGCTGGAGAAGATGGCCTCAGAGTCAAGGGATTGCTCATAACAAATCCATCCAACCCTTTGGGAACCATCATGGATCGAGACACGTTGAAGAGCATCGTGAGGTTTGTAAACGAAAAGAACATCCACCTCATCGGCGATGAGATTTACGCTGCCACGGTTTTCAAGAGCCCCGAGTTCGTTAGCATTTCAGAGGTCATAGAGGAGGTCGAGTGCGACCGCGACCTCATCCACATCGTTTACAGCCTCTCCAAAGACATGGGGTTCCCTGGTTTCAGAGTCGGCATCATTTACTCGTACAACGACGCGGTCATGAATTGCGCTCGGAAAATGTCTAGCTACGGCTTGGTGTCCTCGCAGACGCAGCATTTGATCGCGACGATGTTGAACGACCATGATTTCGTCGACGATTTCATCGTGGAGAGCAGAGAGCAGTTGTTCAAAAGGCACGAGTATTTCACATGGAGTCTTTCCCAAGTCGGAATCGGTTCGTTGAAGGGCAATGGTGGGTTGTTTATATGGATGGATCTTCGAAAGCTACTCAAAGACAACACTTTTGAAGGTGAAATGGATTTGTGGAGGGTGATCATCAATGAAGTTAAGCTCAATGTCTCGCCAGGCTCTTCTTTCCATTGCCATGAGCCTGGTTGGTTCAGGGTTTGCTTTGCTAACATGGACGACAACACCATGGAAGTCGCTTTATCCAGGATCCGAGCCTTTATCCTCAAGAACAACGAGTCCATCGTTCCGCGCAAGCTCTGCAGGCGCAGCAGCCTTAAACTCAGCTTATCTCGGAGCTTATCTCGAAGAATCGATGATTTCATGTCACCTACGGGCATTATGTCTCCACACTCTCCTTTACCACAATCACCCCTCGTTCGAGCTAGGACTTAAATGTCGAAGATTCGAAAATCGAATTTTCGACATTATCGGGGTAGCTAATTGTTTATTTTTTCTTTCATGAATTTGTAAAATAGATAATCTGATGCATTCTTTACCATGGAGGTAACCCGTACACAAGCATCGTTTTGGTGGAGGCTCTCCATCGCATGGGGACCTCCATGGATTCATGCATCAGATTTGTTCAACAACTGTTTTCTTTTGTTTTTTTGTCTTGCCTCGCATTAAGTGCAATGTGAGGGAAGTTTGATGTTGGTGCATAAGTAAACTGTTGTTGTGTTTATTAAGACATTGTAACATCAAAAAAATGATGTCTTAGTTCTGAATTTGTAACGGTGGTGTGCAAAATAAAGGATTATTTCTTTGTATTACCTTTTTTTAGTACTTAGAATACATCAATTGGTCTTAGTAATAAAAGTAATTTTGTTTTTTTAGAGATCTTTCGACTCAAGGGTGGTGTTTTATTGGGGTCTAATAAAACCTTGGTCCCTGTAATTTTTATATTTGATAGATTTTTATCTAATGGTGTACGAAATCATCATTGATTATTATTATTATTATTATTATTATTATTATTATATTACAAAAATACATAAAAATCCAAAAAAAAAGAAAAAAATTACAAAAAAGGAAAATAATCTCGTAAAATTTGTTGTTCATTGCTGCCATTTCTGCCTACACCAGTGCCTGATATGTCGATCGCTTGTCACTACCGTCTGTGTCGACATCTAACCTGTCGATCACCTATACCAAGTTCCCATCAGCAGCTTGCAAGAACAAACAAATGTTGTTGAGTTATAAAAGACCACAACAACACATTTGTAAGGGGGCTTTTGGTAGATTAAAAAAACTTTGTAGCAGAGCTCTCCCATTTTTCTAAAAAAAAGATATCATTGTAAACAGAGAACACTCCCTCCATTCGAAAAAACCATAAAGCATTGTACAAAGGGACGTCCCTTTTTCGAGAGCAGCAATACAAACAAGAATTTTAGCATCTATTTTATATTTCAAAACCAAACACCATTTTTTTTTCATTCGAAGCAAAAAAAAAAAAAGAAACAACAAGAGAAAGCAAAGGAAAAAATATCTTCCCTCTCGGTCGGAGTCATTTTTTGGCGATGGAGTCCCCCTTCGGTGAATCCGAACCGTGAGACGAAGCCCGGTGGTAAGAAAAGCAACATACTTCGAGATCGGCTCGATCTAACGGTGGATGGAGGAGATCGGAGCATTGGAAGTCGAGAGCTTCTCGGCTTATTCCGTGGAGTTGGGGGGCTGAATCTCGTGAAGCCGGGGCCATATTTGGACTCCTGACGTCGGAGCAAGCCAACCTGGAAGTTTTGGGCCCAAACGGCCACAAGATACAGCGACGACCGACACGCTGGCCGCCGACGGAGCTCTTCGTCGGAGTATGGAACATAGAGAGAGATGATAGAGTTTTAAAGGAAGAGAGAGAAGGGGAAGAAGCACAAATGAGGAAAAGAAAGCATCAAAAGAGTTTTATATCACGACCGAAACGACATCGTTTTGATTCAAGCCTATGTGTTTTCAACTTCAGAGGTTAAATCATGTTCGTGGTCATCGTAACTTTATTTTTCTTACAGTACGGTCACTTGTTTCATTATTTTATGTTTATTTTAAAATATTTGTCCTCATCTTGCTATTTTCCCTTTTTATATCTATTGTTAACTTTTCGGTTTATTCTCCTGCAGACCATCGAAACTTCTAGGGTTGTTTTCACTTTGGCCACTGAGCTTTGCCGTGTTTTCTCATTTTAGTCCCCGGGGCTTCGTTTTTTATTAGTTTGATTTTAATATGTCATTTTTCATTTATTTTATTTTGGTCATTGATATTTCTGTTGTTTTATTTTAATTTGAACACCTATACTGTTTTTTAGTGTTTTCTTGCATTTTATTTATTATTACTAATTATCATTCACCAATTTATGCCTTATCTTTTATCTCTTTTGGTTGTAGCCTATTAATTTGGCATGCTTTAGTTTAGTTATTTATATCTCCTTTTCGTTTTATTTTGGGCCGTTTGTCATTCTTTAATTTTGTTTCAATTTCGTTTTATTGTGTATTAAATTTTTATTTACTTACTTAATCCCATTGATTGGGCCATTCATCTTTTCTTTTGAGTTTTCATTCGTTTATTTAGTTTCTTAATTTTAATATGTGATTACATAATTGTCTGGTTTAATTAAACTTTTAATTTTCTTGACTTTAGATTAAACATTTAGATTCAATTCTCTTTGAATTCAATTTTTTCTCCTTAGATTTAGACTACTCACACTTAGTCTTTAATTTAGCAAATAATTCGATTTTCGATTTGGATTTCACATTTAGATGTCCGAGGGTTCATTTTGATTATTCGACTCAATAAAAAGGAGAATTAATTAGGGTTAATAATTAGAACATAATTAGCTGACCCTTATTCTTGTAATGGGTAAGGGGAAGGTAGGATAATAGGCTACCCCCAACGCCAGGTTAAGAGTAACTTCCGTGGGAGACCTCCGAATTATGAATTGCTCTCCGTGGGACTCGATCCCACGGCCACAAGGTTAAGAGCCTTGTGCTCTACCAACTGAGCTAGACAGACAATTTTTACACTTTAGTTCTTGAACTTTCTAGTTAGATATTTATTTGACAAAATTGATTAGATTAACAGTTAAAGCCTCGACACTAGGTTTAATTTCATCTTTGGTCCCTAACAATTAGGGGATGATTCGATTTGAGCTTTCACATGAAAATGTCCGATTGCTCAAATCAATTATCCGATTTCGTAATTGGTTAATAAAAATGGTAGGATTAATATTAGAGACCTCACTTTAGGTTTAGTTCTTTAGGTTCTTTAATTTCATAATTCGACACTTTTAGGCTAGAATTCCTTTAATAAATCACCTAGTAAAATTATGATTATAATCGATTGACGGATTGATTGCATATTTTTTTTAAAGATAAGAAAATGTTCACTTATTTAGGAAATCAATAGTACAGTCTCAGCCATTGCTCTAGGTGTAACCACTGGTGATTCCTGTAATAAATCAACATTCTTTCCAAAACCCTTCATTCTTTTAAATCTTGAGGTAATATCCGATTATTGGGCACAATAATTGATCCCCACATTCATGCACGAAGGTAAGTATTATTGGCTTAAATAAACGAACATCCTCTTCAAATTTTGCATCCATGGTGACTTTTGAAAAAAATAAAATTCGAACTCAAAAATTTCCAAATTTCAAAATAGGGTAATCAAGTAGGAACCAATTTTTGGGCGTTGTGGGGTGCTAACCCTTCCCCAAACGTAACCGACTCCCGAATATGATTTCTGAATTTTAACAGACCCTACAACTCGATATTTTAATAAAATAAAATATTTTATTAAAATTACTTAATTTTTATAATGTTCTAATCGAATCGTAAATAATTGATGGTGACTTTTCATATTTTTAAATTTTTCAAAGAAAAATCCCTCAATCTTCTTAATTTTTTCTCACCTCAACGAAAAACAGTGACTACAGTGTACAACATATAAAAAATTATCTAAGAAAAGACTAGAGAGCGGAGATCAAGACTATAAACAAAAGCAGCAAAAAGTTGCAGACTGGCTCGCTAAATACGCGTGGAGATTGACTAAGGGGCTACATGAATTGATGGAATCACCTGATGGAGTTGCTACTCTACTGCACAGTGAAGAGATAATGTCGGCCTATGACCTTTCCCTTTTAAAAAAATTATTCAAATTTAAAAATACAAAAAATTATTAAATATTTAATAGATAAGACCTAAATTAAAAAAGATAATTCAATATATTTAGTTTTTTTGTGATATAAAAATTTATATCATTGTAAGTTTAAATATTATACAAATTAGATATTATCTTTTAAATTTTAGGATAAATATCTAAAAAGCTATTATATTTTTTTTGAAAAGTTTAATATTTTATCTACTGTCAATATATAATCCTAGGTCGTCCCTACTCGATTCAAACAACTACATTTTTAGGTGTAAAAAAATTCTAAATAGATATTACTTAATATTCATAGTAAACTATTATGGGGCATTTGGTTCATGGAATGTAAGATTATTTTTTAGAATAACATTACTGGAATGTAACATTACTGTGAGAATGTTTTATTATCATGTTTGGTTTGTTTAACATGAATGTAAAACTACAGTGTTTGGTTGGAGGAATATAAGATTCCATGACTATATATTTTACCAAATTATCATTATATGTTTTTTAAAAAAGTTAAACTTTAATATTAAATTATAAATATTTAAATAAAAATTCATATAAATATTTTAATCGTTGTACTATCTAACATTTGAGAAAAATATATTTAATATATAATTAATGTATTAAACTTATATTTTAAATAGTTTTCTTAAGCATCATATTTATTTATATAAAATATAATATAATATGAAAAAAATAATATTATGATCTCGAGTGGACAGTGATATTATTTTTCTGTAATACCCCAAAAGTTTGGATAATGACCAAAATGAAAATTTTGAAAGTTGATGGTCAAAGTAGAAAATTGGGAAAAAGTTTAGGGAATTAAGTGATAAATTTCCTAAAAAATATTTTATTCCATAAATAGATAGTTTACTCTTGAGAGTGAAGTTTTATAGAAATCATATTTTTGGATTTGAAATTATGGTAAAGAAAAATTAGAAAGGGTTAAAGCGGTAAGGAATTGATATTTCAAATCGAACTGAAATTTTACAAAAATTTGAAAGATGTTATAAAATGGTTGGAAATATTATTTTAATATTTTATATCAGAGAAATTTGGTATGAATATGTGTAATTTTTCAGATTTAATCGAAACAGTGGAATTTAGTAACTAAAACACAATTTTTGAAAATTCAGGGGGAATTTCGGAAATAAAAGTCAAATTAATTCATATTTGACTTTGTAATATGATAAGGATGAAGTGGCTTGGTTTTATGGGGAATAGGAAGGTTCATTAAGGGTGATTTAGTATTATCTCAAGTGAATGAATATTTTATTCATTTAAAGTTAAATTAAATATAAATTGAGATGAAATGTACCTAACATTTCATTTCACATGCTCATATTCTTCTCCAAAGCTGCGTGGGTTTTCTCTTAATGTAAGAGAAAGCTTCAATTCAATTTTCAAACAATTTCCTTAGGATTTTGAGTATGCTGAAAATAGAAAATTGTTATATACGAAAAACGCTATCATTTGGTACCAATATTGCATGATAATTATTAGTGTTAAAGTCCATTTTGAGTTGATGAAGGGGATGTTGATTTCTTTGTGTTTTATGGGATATGAAGAGTTAAGTGATTTTAAAGAATTTGTTGGAAGAATTGATGAAGAACCTAAGGATGAGGTTTAAGAAAACAATTTAGATTTTGAGATTGACAGTGGGTTTGAAAATTCACCAGAATTTATATAAAAATAATTTGGATATTAATTTTATATATTGTGTTCATATATCGATCTAGTTTTGTTTAAAATAAACGGGGATCAATTTCAAGGTGTATACAAAAAGATATGAGTTTTTAACCGAGGAAATGTCAGAAAAATCGGACAGCAGATTCTGCAAAACAGATTTTGTTGGTCAACTTTAAAAATTCACCATAAATTGTACAGAATGAATTAGAAGGAGTTCTTTATATGGATAGATTCATATTCGAGTCTAGTTTTCAACAGAATAAACGAAATTAAATTCCAGTGTGTATATCAATACAAAATACTGATTCTTTAAAGGGAGTCTAGTTTTCAACAGAATAAACAGAATTAAATTCCAGTGTGTATATCAATACAAAATACTGATTCTTTAAAGGTAGTGTGAGTTGTCTAAATATGGGAAATTGATGGGTTGTTGTGTAAGTGTTGTATAATTAATGTACTATGCTAGAAATTGTGGTTTGGGAATTGAAATGAGTGTTAGGATGTGAAATATGACTATTTTGGAAGTTTGAAAAGATTTGTGAATTAAGTACAACATTTGTATAGTTGGGGTACTTAAATGTAATTATGCTTTTGTAAAAGCATTTGAATGGAAATAAATTCAATGCTGGAATTTTTGGTATTAAGAATCTAAGTGATAAAATGGTGAAGGATCATTTTGTGTAAATTGAAAAAGTTGGTGCTCATGTTTAAAAGAATTATTAAGCGTTAAATATTTTGGTTGAAAATGAGTTTCAATTATATTATGGAGTTATTTTGGGATATGTTTATGTTAGTACAATACTAACATATGTATTATTATGAATTTGTGATTTATACAGATCGTGATTGATTTGCGATTGAAGCAAGTCAAGTATAAAAAGGGTTTATTGTGGATAATAGTGAGGCACACATTTTTGAAAGATATAAAGTGTCAAGGTGAGTGCAATACATGCATGAAATTATACATGGATGTTTTATACATCATCAGAAAGACTTGCAATAAGTCAACCTTGTTTATAGCAACATGATATTATGTCATTTATCATATATTTGACATATTCTAAATATGTCAAAGGTTGAATATAAAATGCATTGATCACTGATTGTTGCATATGATGTTATCATGAACATATATGATTTTCACCATGAATGTTATTTCGGGTATGAACTGCCTAATGTTAAATTATGATAATATACTTTGCCATGGATGGATCGAATAAAAAAGACTATATGCCCAAGTAAGTCATTGAGGGACAGGGTATAGTTGGCATGCCATAGAGTATAGCAGCTGCAGGTTTATAATAGCACTATAGTGTGTAAGGACACTAAGTGCAGGTTTATGTCCGGATTAGCACTATAGCATAAGCTTAGTGTACGTGGTGGGCACGACCTTATGTTTATTATCCGGATTAGCACTATGACGTAAGCTTAGTGCAGGTTTAGCACTACGGTGCAGGTATTTGACTCGTGTACCCAGGGTCCTCAGGGTGTTATATTGTGCTATTGTCTATGGTATATGGTTTATGGCTTAATCAATGGTAAGCATGAAAATAAGTTTACGAGCTTATAGAATAAATGGCAAGTGTATTGGTAAAATAAGCTTACTATCTTATGGAATAAATGGTAAGTGTATTGGTAAAATAAGCTTACTAGCTTATGGAATAAATGGTAAGCGTATTGGTAAAATAAGCTTACGAGCTTATGAAATAAATGGTAAGTGTGCTGGTAAAATAAGCTTACGAGCTTATGGGATAAATGACAAGTATATTGGTAAGAAATTTTATATTAAGTTATATATTTTGATCATGGTAAAATATTGGACATGTGTGTAACATGATTTTATGGCATTTTGAATTTGACATGGAAATTCATGCATGAATTGTATTGCATTGTACATTGTTTTAATTGCCTCACTAAGTATATACTTAGCGTGTGATGATTTTCACGCGTAGGTAAAAAAAGCCAGTAGTGGAATAAAGAGTTCAAAGTGACATCAAGCATCGAGGAGTATCTTTCAATATCATTAAGACATCATATGATGGAATTTGATTTAGATAGTGGCATGTAATTAATAATGTTCGATTTGTGTTGTTGAATAAATTTAGAAACAAAATAACAACTTTATAGTGAAGAAAGGTTAAGTTTTTATGAGTTTTATAAGTATTTTCCGGAAGTTATTGTAGCAGTTACTGTAGCAATGAACAATAATCACGTTTAAAAATTTCCAGAATGCTAGAGGGGTATCGATTCCCTGCTACAGGAACTGATACCCTCACTGTTCACTGTTCAATGTTCACTGTTCATAAAGAAAAAAAAATCTTTTGAATTAAATTTGTTATAACGAAACATAATTTATACGATATGATATTTTTATAATATCATTTACTATTTTAAGTAAATAAATTTTAAATCACTTCTGAATTGGAAAATAGTTTTACAAATTCGGATAACATCTATAATAAGTATAATTATACGGGTTATGGGTGTTACATTTTCAATATATAAGATCAATTTTTTAATAACTTAAAGTTAAATATTATTTTAAATAATTATATTTTTACAATTATATTTTTTTACCCCACAAAATTATAAATAATTAATATATTGAATATTAAAAATATAAAATAATTTTAAATATTCAAACTTATTAATATTTTACTAAATTAAACTTTTTGTATATTATTATATTTATAATTTTGAGTAAAGTATAAAAAATAAGAATTAAAAAGTATCGTTATAAAAAAAATTCATTAATCTAGGGGTATTCTTGTCCAAAATGATGAAAATTATCTAATACCTAAGAATTTGAAAACAATGACATTTCTATCAATGTAATCAAAAATTAATACTATTAAGAAAATATTATTTTCTGATAATAATATTTTCTATGAAGTATCATTGTAGGTATCCGTACATAATGGGGGCACTTAATGATGTTGGTGGGGGGGGTGATTTAATTTATGATTCTTTTTTTCCTTCGCTGTGATCGTTTTACCATGCAGCCTGGGATTGAATGAATTCCTACAAACAAATATCATTTTCCATGCAAGGATTGACTTTGGGAAAACTACAGTCCACACCCTTGTATTGAGGAAAAATAACTCCATATGGGCAGCCCAAAATGGAAAGTTTTTCTGTACATCAGTCTAATTCAAGGCTAAACAACGATACAGAATGGATCTAATAAAAAAATATTATAAATAATATAATATTTTCGGTTTAATGTAACATAAAATATTACATTTTTTAATATCTTTGGTTAAACCGAAAATGATATAAAAAATGCAACATTTTTTGTTTTCAACCAACAATATTATGAAGCAAGTGTGCAAATGAAAAATATTAAGAAAAAATTAATATTATAGATCAAGTCCAACCGAAAAATGTTATACTTTTTATAATATCTTCAGTTGCATCCTTTCTCTATTATTTATTAATCTTAAATTAAGCTATCGTCCCTTAAATCTTCGTGCCCAAAATTGAAATGATGCTACAAGAGCCACTTGCAATAAGGATGCACACTCCAACAAAAAGAATTATAGTTCCTTCATTTTTGGCCTCTTGATTATATAATGTTATTGGTATTGGAAGGAAACCATAAAGGCATTGGGCTTTTGTATGATCCCCGGAAAGTAGGCCCAATTCTCCGTAAACAAGAGGAAATCATTTCTATTTAGAAGAATTTTTGGTATGGAAAAACGATTGATTCAGAAATATTTTTAGAGTGAACACATATATATTAATTATATAAATTTTTTATAAAAGATCAACTAAAATATCAAGATAGGCACAATCTTTAAAATGTATAATTATCCGAAGAAAATTTAGATTTTAGAATGAACACGTGTTCACCTTAAATTCCTAATATACCCGCGGTAAATGTCATACATGTTTTTAGACAAAGGTTTAAATCCCACCAAATGTAAATTATTCGATTCCTTGTTAAGGCCACATACCTATCATCCAATACTAATTGTACATAGAATAAACTTATCATCCAATGCAATATTTATCATATCTTTAATATATTAATTCATATCTTAGTTTACCAAGTACATAAATGAGCATATAATTCTATCAATAATTTCATCACATAACATGGTTTGATACATGCTTTTATAACACAACTTACCTTGTTTTCATAACTACAATGGCTACATATCACATAAAATTAAAGGTTCACTTATTAGACATGCTTGATTAATAGACATACCATGACACACATGTACCTTAACATATCATCACAAACCTTGTCATTGAATACACATGCTTACCATGCTTATCTTATGCTTACTTCTGTCATTCATTGTTTTATGTTTTTTTTATAACCATCGATATTCGATCTATTGATTGACTAATTCGGATTGGATACTGCAGAGGCAAGAACAACCCTCTCAACCCAATTTACCCCATTCACATCGTCAAGATTTAAATCCCTAACCCTATTTGAAGGATCTAATTTCTCATCCTACTGATTAATCGGATGTTCGTTTTGTTCATTGTTCTATATGACCCTACTTGAGGGATCGAAATGATTGCTTCACGGTCTACAATGAAGATCAAGCCTTTGCCTAAAAAAAATTGTAAACTAAAAAAGAGCATGGTTTACACAGGTGGAGCCGATGATTTCCCCCCTTGTTTCAAAGCTTGAAGAAACTCGGCTCTGCTTCGTACAATCCTATGAAACACTTCCTTAATCTTCATCTGCAAAGGCAACAGTCCTTCTTCCATTCTCTTACAAATCTCCGCCAATTCCGCCGCATGGTCCGCCGCTTCTTCCGCTTTCTCATCGGTCCCTCCATGAAACTGAAAAGAATCAGTGAACTCCATCAAATTACGCACCAGTTTCTCCATTTTCTGCACCTCCGATAACAACCCAGCCGCCCCTTTCTTCTCCTTCTCCTTCCACTCTTCGGCGATTTTCTCATGTAACCCGGTAATGCTTTGATCCCAACTCCATTGCTTACGGACTGGAAAATAAGTAGCCGATAACCCATTCCTCTCTTGGCAAGGAATCGCCGCAGCCAAAGCCCACATAACGAAAACCATGATCACACTCATTGTATAAACAGGGGAAGCCAGACCGGAACCCTCCGCCCCTCGCGGCGGAACGAGATTCCAAGTCATCGCCTGAATCTGTTTCGCCGCCGACCATTTCTTCGCAACTTGTCTCAAATGACCAGGGGATCTGTCTTTATTAACAGCTAGGCGACTGAACGACCAGCTCCTCTCGGTTGTTTTCACGGCGGAGCATTCTTTATCGTCAACGCTCATCGCCATCAACAATGAATTCAAGGCCTTTCTGGATCTCCTCGCTTGTCCGTCGCCGATTGGTTTTTGTCCCAGAGCCGAAGCGGCAATCTCGGCGAGCTTTTGGTAATGCCTGACAGAGTCCAGCCCGTTGGTGACGGCATTACAGAGGTCCAAAGCCTTGATTGACCGGTCCAGAAATTCATGGATCAAGCGATCGAGAGGGGGTTTAGAGATCTGAAATGGGTGATCATCATCACCCATCATGAGAACAGCCTTGAATTCAGCTTCACAGCAGAGAAAAACGTCGAGGAGCTTGCGCAGCCATGAAATGGAGAGAAGAGTATCGAAAACGACGTCGTCCGGAGGCGACAAGAGCTCAGTGAAACGCTCAGAGACGTGCTTCGAGAAGAGCTCGAGGTCTTCTTGCTCGTGGTTGCCGTCCATGGCGATGACTTGGTTCCGCCGTAGGCTGATTCGGCCCAAGAAGGAGGCCTGGTAATCGGTTGCCGGCATCTCGAAATGAGAGTAAATTGGAAAGGGAAGAAGGATACATATATATATAGAGGAGGGAAAATTGAAGGAGAAATGGAGTGTTGGGGACGAGACCGATTCTTCTTCCTTCTTTGGGACGATGACTCGGCACTTCCCACTCTTCTTTTTTATTTTCCAGATTCTGCCCTCGTTTTCCTTTTTATCCACTAATATATTAAGCCAAGCAGTATATTTTTTTTAAGAATATACCTATACAATGTGGGATTCAAGAAACTTATGATTAAAATATTAATTTTTGAATTGGTCATGAACTTAATCAGATTCACATCAACTACTATCAACCAAAACTCCTGTAATTCTACCATTTATTAGATTTATAAGTATCGTCGTATTTAATCTAAAATACCTGTAAGAATTATTTAGTTGTAAATGAGAGGCAGCCCATCCGAAAATGAAGCAGTAAACGGAAAGTTACGCTTAACTAGAAATGTTATATATTTTTATAATATTTTTTAATTACGTTTATTCTTTATTATTTTTAATCTTAAATTAAATTGTCGTATAATAAAATTTTCTAAAGTTGTAGCCTATGTGGGAGTGCATTCGAAATCAGATAGTTTTGCTAGGAAAAATCTTTCGAATGCATATATATATATATATATATATAAAGATGACAATTTGACTTGAATCTGATAGGTTCTGACCCGAACCTGCTTGATAGGGTGATTTTTTTTATAAAATTCAGGTTCAGGTTGGGTCGTGTCGATTTTTAAGGGGTGGAGTTGGGTCGGGTTCTGGTGGAGGTCCCGACCAGACCTAACCCGAAACGAGGATAATAAAGTAATTTCCTTAAAATTGTTATTATTTTATATCGGGTCGAGTCGAATTTATATTCTAAAAATTTGGGTCAAGTCGGAGTCGGATGTATGACATATATTTTTTGGGTCGAATCGGGTTAGATGAAAAATATAAATTTTTTGAATCGAATCATGTCAATTTTAAGTAGAGGATGCACATTTTCGAATCAAATTAGGTTGATAAAAATCAATCCTAACCCGACATATTACCATCTTTGTATATAGATGAAGCGGCCATCTTTGTATATAGATGAAGTGGCGAGGGATAGAGTTGAAACCTTTAATTCCCGCCCACAAATTTATTAAGGCGGAGATGTGGGCGTTATTATATTAAAAATATCCCTTTAATTTTTTTTTGAGAAATAACTTCATGTCAGATTAGTTAAAAAAATAACTCCCAAATTCTTCACGTAAGATATCTTGAGTTATGTGAAAAGTGAGATTAACCCTCGTATTTTATGAAAAACGAGTTTCATGCATTTATTATTATCTTTATCCAATATTAAATGACTTATCTGAAAAAGTTGATAGGTCTAAACCACATAAAACATGAGGCCCATTAAAAGTGTTTTATAGGACGCGAGATAATCTTACGTAGATTATTTGGTGTTATTTTTCTAACTAATATGACATGGAAATATTTCTCAAAAAAACAATTAAAGGGTTTTTTTTAATATAATAACGCTTAAGATGACAGTGAGAGCAGTACCGAATCTATTGAGGGCAGTACATGTTTATTCAAAATTTAGATATTTTATAGTTAATTATTTATTTTATTAAAAGTGTCTATTTTGAAATATTATTTATGTCCATCTAATTTAAAAATTAGGTAAATTACGCGTTTAATATTTAAACTATCAGTTTTGATCCGTTTTAGTACCTAATCTTTTAATTTTTTTCAAAACCATACTTAAAATTTAGTTTTTATTTCATTTTAATACCTTATTGTTAAAAACTTTAGTTTTTGTTTTATTTTAGTACCCCGTTCAAAATTTAATTTGAACAAATTGAAAGTTTAGGTTCCAAAACAGACCAAAATTGATAGTTTACGTACTAAATGCATTAAGTTTTTAACGGCGAGATACTAAAATGAAATGAAAGCTAAATGTTAGGTATGATTTTAAAAAAAATGAAATTTTAGATACTAAAACAGACCATAACTAATAGTTTAGATATTATATATATATATATCGCAATTAAGTGATTGAAGAGGATTTGGCTGACAATGGTTATGAGGAAGGCATCAATGAAGGCACTAAACCAACTATTGCTGGTCAGGACAAAGCTATGATTTTAGTTTAAGGGGTAATGTATAATTAACAACAGAAAATGAGGAGAGCAAAATCAAAATAAATTAAAATTTAAAGACCTAAATAGGTAATTGTCCCATTATTTTTTAATGATAAAAAATTTGAGGGGACAAAATCAATATAAATTAAAATTTAAAGGCGTAAATAGGTGATTGTCCCATTATTTTTTAATGAGAAAAAAATTTATGGTGTTAATGGTACCCCAAGCACCTATGTACCTCCGTCTCTGGTTGTCCGTGTAGGAATTTTGTATATTTCACAATTTTGTGTTAATAATTTTTTTTATAGTAGGATGATGCACTGAAACTCTTAAGCAAAGATAGAAGTTCGAATATTAACGTTTGTATATAGAGTAAACTGAGTTTTGAGAGTCACCCTCATAATCACTTTTTGCAAACTTCGATACGAAATAATCGATTAATATATCATATACTAATAATTAAACCAAACAAAAATATTTTTTAATAGAACTGACTGAATATTAAATTTATTAAAATTTTTGATGGGTAACTAAATGTGTTTTTAATTTAAGAACAAAACTATGTTAATTTCTTTTACATGATATGCATAAGTTTTGGCCAACATAAAATTTAACTTTTTAAATAATTTAAAATAATTATAAGGTAATATATATTTAAAATTTTTATTGATTACACGTTATTTATCAATTTTGTTTTTCAGTTTTAAACGTTTAAAATTAAAACTGTTAAATTCATAAATAAATAGTTTTACATTAACCTTATTAATATAATAATTTAAATAAGTTTATATAAAACAATAATTATTCAATATATTTTCATTTTTTAAGCAACAATAAAATCAACCTGAGAAGTATTTGATGGCGCGTACACATGACGAAGTCCAAGCCTCAAAGCCTAAGCCAAGTCTTCAATGTCGCAAACCAAAAATATAATTTGAAAAGAAAAAAGAAAAATTCAAAACCATAATATAATAATAAGGTAAATCACATGTTTAGTACCTAAATTATCAATTTTAGTCTATTTTAATACATAAATCTTTAATTTTTTTTCAAAATCATACCTAAAGTTTAATTTTTATTTTATTTTAGTGTCCCGTTCAAAATTTAATGTTAAGTTTTTTTCAAATAAAAGTTTAAATACTAAAACGAATCAAAATTGATAGTTTAGGTACTAAATGTGCGAAGGTTTTATTGCGGGATACTAATATGAAACAAAAACTAAACGTTAGGTATAATTTAAAAAAAAAATTAAAGTTTAAATATTAAAACAAACTAAAACTGATAATTTATATACTAAATTCATAGTTTACCCATAATAATAAGATCCCTTTGACCGGGCCATTTTAGGATAATATTATTGTGATGTCAATCAAGTTTGTGGTATACTAATAAAAGGTATATACAACTATAAACTATTACTTGAGAATACTATATACAATTCATTCATAACTCCAATATAATAATTTGTTGAGAATACTATATACTATTATAAATATATAATTTTATATAAAATATTTTTGATTCTTTCATATCGTGGTTATACTAAAATCTAATGCATAATTCAGTCCTCCATCAACATTGATCTTAACCAACCATTTCACTTTATAAATTAATAATGTCGGGATCACGCAATTTTATTAATTTAAAGATGTATTAATTAATCGATTGATTAATAATTTATTAATTTAAATAGATGATTAATGGTCTTGTACACCGCAATAAAATGGATGTTAATCACCTACTAGATTACCCGGGTGAAAATGATACGTGTTCAGAGATCCAAATAGAAGAAATAGTAGTTAGTGTTATTGAAAATTCTATTGACGATAAAATTGAATATGATACAATGCCTTTGCAGCCAATTATGCGGAAGAAAACACTCATAGCTGCAACAATTATTCACAATTTTTTGTTGCAGTATGAGAATGGAACATCAGAACTTTTGGACACAATAAGGAAAGTTAGAGATGAAATACATCTAGATTTAAATTTTAATAAGAAACAAACAACATAATAATCATATTTTACTAAGTTGTCATAGTTATATTTATAATTTTATAGAATTATTAATTTATAATATTGAAGGGATCATAATTTTTTAATAGAGGTAGCTAATATTATTAAAAATTGAAAATATCTGAAATTACAATAACATTAAAACTAGTTACTTTAGATCATATAAGGACCATACATGGAAAAGATTAAAAACCCAACCAAAAGACTCAAACAAAAATAGATATGAATAAATCTGATTGCATCGATGAACAAACCACAAAAGAGAATTAAGCTATTAAAATACCACTAAAAACCGTAAATAAGACCCGAACGTCGTGAGAAACTATCCCCAAAAGCAAAATCACACATCCAAATTCAATCCGAAGGTCCATAGCAGGAAAGATCATCAAGATTTCAAATAAGTGTCATTTTGATCAGTTATGGAGTCGTCAAATCCAACCTTGAGAAAACATAAATAAAAGAATGACCAAACAACCAAGAAAAAAAAATGAAAAACGTATCACAAAGATAAAATTATTCCTATTAAAAAAATAAAAGAAAAAAGAAAGAAAAAAGAGAACCGACAGTCGACAATTAACATCAAAACCGATGCCGACGCCGGGTAAACAAAATCAAAAAAAGAAAAAGTTAATCTGATCTATAAAAATGACACAAACTCAGAAAAAAAGGAGAACAAATGGGAGAAAGACTAAGAAAAAGGGAGAGCGAATAGGGTTTCTGAAGGGATCATAAATTTATATAAATGTCTTCCGAATTTATTTTTTGAAAAATAAAAAGAGTCTAGTTAAAAACTCATTCTTTAACCCAATCAAGCTGAAGCTTAATCGAGAAAAAGGAAAGGGAAAAGAGATCCAAGCGATTTATTATCATTGC